GAGAGAGATAGTGAGAGTGAGAGAGTGAAAAAGTTAGAGTTTAAAGCTTATTCGCGTTCAAAGAAGAAGAAGAAGACGTAGTAGTAGTAGCTCCCACACTTTGGTAAACCTTGATCTCCCACTTTTAACGCAGAATTCTACCACGATGGGAAGCGTTGAATCGCGCAAACGGCCGCAGCCTTTGAAACGAGTCGCAAGAGGAATCGTTAAAAAGTTTTCTTTGCCCGGTCTCTTCCGCTTTATATACGTCACGTACACTTACGTGCACGTAGATACACGCGCGAATAGAGATACACGTATACGTAAAAACTCGTTGAAGTTATCTACCCAGGCACCACCGATGTATTCTTTGGAATTAACATCGTGACGTAAAAACAACATGGGAAAAGAAAAAAAAAAAGAAAACTTTGTCGACTTTATAAATCGAATTATATTTTCCTAGACACAAAGTTCGAATTATTTTTATATCGCGCACAGATATAATAAAATAATAATAATAATATCCAAGACGCGAGAGAGTAGATAGTATACAAATGTAATTCGAATTAATTCTATTGTTTGGAAAATATCCTTTGCAAATAAAGAAAGAATAAAATATATCAGAAGAAAATGATATAATACGTGGGAGGAGGTGGGTGGAATCGTTTTTTGTCGGGGTTGTTGAAAGAGAATAAATGTTATGTTTAACGAGAAGAGTTTTTTTTTTTTTTTCTTATATAAAACGATAAAAGGAAACAACAGTTATCTATTCTCTCTCTTTCTCTCTCTTTCTCTCGTTCTTTTTTTCTCAGTTCGTAAACATCACGCCACGCATCTTGACAAATGACAAATATGTAAAAAGCCTTTTTTTTTCTTCTTCTTTTTTCTCCCGCTGAGGTGGATAGGCTCGGTTAAGACGCAGCATCACATTTCCTTGCGTCACGAGAGATGTTGACGTAGAGAAAAAGATAGAAAGAAAGAAAGAAAGAAAGAAAGAAAAATAGATAAAGAGAGAGAGAGAGAGAGATGATAAGTGGGGGTGGTTTACGAAAGAACGTAAACCATAGCTGATGGGGTCGACGAGTTTATTTGAACAAGTACGAATCTCAAGAGATGGTAGAAGAAGAAAAGAGAAAGAGAATGAAAAAGACGGCTCGGTTTGGGCCAAGAAGAAGATAAAGGGAAGGAAGGGAAAAAGAAAGAAGGGTGAGAGAGAAAGAGAGAGAGAGAGGGTGTTTTTCTAAATAAGAGAAAAGCACTTGAAAAGAGCTCTGACTTCAAGTACCCGTTCAGTGTTGGAACGTAGGTTAGTCCCGCCTGAATTGGACCGCGCCTCTTAATTTCCATCGCTTTTGTGCCTTTTCATAGTCATACATACAAACGTTTTTTTATTTTTTATTTTTCTTCTTTTTTTCTCCTTTTTTTACCGTTGTTCTTTGTTTTCGAACTCTTTTATTTATCGTCTAATTAAATGTACGTAATATGTTAATTTTACAATCGTATTATCCAAGGTGTTTACTTACGTATATCCAATCGTTTCATAATTTTTCTATCTTTTTTCTTTTCCAGAATTTTACGAAGACGTTTATTTAATTAATGATACATCAGGTGTATATTGACTATTGTCATTAACAATTTGTTTCCATCTTAATAGGCAGCTTATCGATTTTAAAAATTTTAAACAAAAAATATTCTACTTTTTCGACCCATAAAATTCGGATAGTTAAATCAAATAGAAATATGATAGAAATTATGCAACGGTTTTTAATAAATATACCGTATTAACAGTACATTACGTACATTATACTAGAGTATTTTTACATGTAAATATATTACGTATTGCAACATGGTATATAATACATATTAAAAATAATTTATAACGGCTACCGTACGATTAAACTCTAATTCATTTATCCGAGGAGAAGTAACCGTTGGCTTGGTGTTCAGTCGCAATCTTCCTAAAGCAATATGCAAATTACACGAGGCATTTCACCACGATAACTCGATTATTCGCATAAATTCGCTGATTTATCTTTGCTGTCATACATAATCTCACGAATGCACGTGGACGTACTTGTATGTTTCAACTTTGTGAAAAGTTGTTACAGGTAGGAAGGTAGGCCACCGTAAAACATGATTAATATATACGTTACAAGTTGTACGAAAATTTTACTCGTGCAACACGATTTTTTCATGTTGTTCTTATTTTTTGTTGGTTTATATATCTTTCTCTTAGATAATTTATAATTGATTAATAACACACGAAGACAATAATTTAATGCTCAATTAAATCCCTTTGCGAATCAATGACGCACAAAATGTATCTAACATTTTGAAATTAAATAAATATCTAATAACAACAAATAATAATTAATGAGTATACACTAAGAATAATTAATTAAATATTTATTAAATAATTAATAGATGTACCGATATAATACGGAATAGACGACAATAAGTATACTGCAAGGGATTAAAGCAATTTTAGTTTTTACATTCTGGGTGAAAATTCCTGCAGTTTAATACGTTGGCGCTTTTGCACGTGGAGAATCGGGTTATATGAAAACAGGAATTGCAATATCTTTGGCGCGTTGTAGGAATTTGCATTGTAGGAACTTGCGTTAAACGGTAGTCTAAAGTTTTTTCGTTTTTATATTCTATGAACTCATATTACTCGACGATCAACACTTTGAAAGAGCAAGTAATAAGTAGGTACGTGAGTGCGTACTTGTGCTCCTGTGTTTGTGTGTTACGTTAGAGATAGTAGATAAAGATAGATAGATAATGGAGAGAAAGAGAAAGAGAAAGAGAGAGTATAAGTCGGATAATTTTCCAAGCATCATAAGCAAATCTTCGTGCAAACAAGCACACCGATTTCGAGGCGTCTACCTTCGACTGGAATAGTGCTGCGCTAGGTGCTATCACGTGCTAGGCATTGTGTACACGAGGTATTATCGTGCTCCTAATTACAATGGAAGTATCCAGTCGTATCGCGATGGCGATATTTGTTCGAGTTTAACGGCGTTTCTACGGAGAAAGAGTGGCCCCATCAATCTCCTATATCCTCGAGAATTATCGACCATTATTTCATTTTCTCGATTTTTCTTCTTAGTTTTT